ATATGTTAGTCCCGAAATGACCTAGTTTGTGTCGAGTGGACGTTAAACCCTATTTCTCTCTCTCTCTCTCCCTTTAAACATAACTAGGCTAGACATATTCCACAAGTCATGTCAAACGGTAACGCCATATTCTTATCTGAAAAGCATGCGCAATAAATACTATCGGTGTAGACTGGAATAACCAGACGCTAGAGATTGTCATTCGATTGAGACTTCTGGCGTATTTCGCCGAATATAACCGATTAGAATTTACAGTAAAAACAGAAACGATTGAATGTAAATCAGTTTATATACATTCATATTACATTATTATATGCGTTGCGACCCATTTGTGTCAATTTCTAGGTCCCAAGTATTAGCGATTTAGCTCCTTTAAACATAAATGTTCCGGAAATCTACATTTTGTAATCTCTATCATAAAGACAGACTATAATGAACAACGCTGCGCCAGGGACGAGGCCAACCAAAAAAACCGGCACCGCTCTTGGCGAACCATCAAAACCGTTCTCATACTTTACTAATTACGAAGTTGAAGTACTCATCAAGTACTACGACCGTGTGCTAATATGAGCCGCTTCATTTGAGAGAAGCAGGGGTGTTGACCAATTTTATTCTCCTCCAAGCAGTTTGCATCAAAACCTGGAAGTGTTCTGAGGCATATAGCCAAGCAACGGTATGAGATCGGTAAATGTTCAAACTATTCAAATTGCAGTTCTTATGACGGACTACAAGGTCTTATTATTATGTCTAACATAAGTAGCAGGAGAAAACACGGGATTTTTCAATTCAAATTCATCATTATTTTTACCGAGGGAACAAAACTTTCTGTAGCTCCACGGTGTCAGCTATGACACTGATAACACTTTCGTGAGTCAGTCTCCACATCAGTTCAGCCTGGCATGCCAGAATCATTTATGGTGCGATAGATTCTCCGAAGCAAATCTGCCGACCAGTCAGTCCTTTATCATTTTTAGCCACGAGCTTTTGGGAAGATGAAGATCAGCCTTCGTACCGAAGTTGAATTGTAACGTGTAGAGGTTAATACTGAGGCAGAAAGAATGAAACATTTTCCTGGTCAAACACCCGCCGCGCCAATGAAAAAAATGTTAAATCCGAAAATGTCTTCTTGTCATTCTTTTAAAACACACAAAGGTAACCTGGTCATGATAGTCGTGTACTTTATAATGTCAGATTATTTAACTTAGGGTTATCATCCAGGAATTAACAGTAGATATTCTTATGTTCATTTCGGCAGTTTTTAATTTGCATGTTTGGTTAAAAGAAAGCTCTTTATAGAGTCTATTTAAATGTAGAAATGATATGAATACGATTTCAAAAACACAGTTCAACATCATTAAAGGATCTAACCGGAATCCCCAATGTCCGCTTCGTCTCTGCATAGATTCCGTTATGGGTTATCAGGCACACGAATCAAATTTTCTAGTTCGTGCGTTGTTCTTATATATATACATATATACTTATGTCTATAAATTATCCATTACATCCTATTTTACTTGTCCAGAGGGTTCGAAAATATTTTTAAATCGAAGTTTCATTTGAAAAGGTTTACGTTAGACGTTTCAAACCATTATGTTGAATTTTTCAAAATTTTTAAATAAGGTGTGTTAAGATGAAATTTGTATCATCAATTAATTGAAATATTCTAAAATAGTACAATTTGTTGACCAGAATAAAGATTAGGACATATTATTCAGTTACGACAAGAGTGGTATTGAGCCTTTAAGACTAACTCAATAACTTAATTGATATAACATATTTCTACGCGGGAATTTCTGTAAAATGCCCAGCAGCTCTATTGTCCTAAAATTAATTCTTACTCGAAATACTATGAGTGAAACGATTTTGTTGGTAGTATATTTTTAATCAACGCCTATTCGTGTTCTTATAGGGTGGCCGTTCTCAAGAAGACCATTGGTTTGGTGAAGATTCTACGAAACGCATAATATTGTCGCATCTTCGCTGTGACTGTCGATTTGTTTTAACAAAAGCGAAGATGTAAAGACGTTTCTAAATTAAAACGAAGATATTAAAATCGTAAGGCGAAGATTAGAAGGTTAACCTCTCATCCTCATTAGTGTAATAATTTTATAAAATAATTTTGCTTGAAAATCATTTTCCAACGACCAGCTGTGATGTTAAATTTCTGAAGAAATTCCTTAATTTCAGTAAATTTTAACATGAGTTGAATTTTATAATTATGATCACGCAATCGGTCCATGCGATCTTTTTCCATGACATTATGATGTTAGTTTGATGCCAAAATGATTATAGACAATGTAGATTGCACACCTGTCAATAATGACTTTGTCCTACATAACACTTGGTTTGATATCTACACTATCAAACATCAAAATCGTTTTTTACATAATACAAAACACCAAACACAGGTAAGTATTTTCAAATTTGAACACAATAACACTTTAAGACTGAAGCTGATCTTCCAAAACTACATGTAAACAGATAGCGGAATCATTAGGGTATCCGAGCTATAGGTTCTTTTAGTATGTTAATTCAAGGCCTATGGACAATAAACTCGTATGGAACTACGAAGAAGATCAAAATACGTTAATAAGTCCTTAGTACTTGTAAATAACAAATTTGAACAAATTTGGTCGAAGCTTTTATTTTATTATTCTGATGTCATATAACTTTGTCCTTAATAAAAGGCAGTATTCACCTCGTTTAAAGCACTATAGAGTATACTTTTTAAAAACGGGACTTGAAAAGCGGCCTGGTTTTGGGACTATTTTCTGGGTTATTTGAACTAAAAATAAAGATTTCATTTAGTAATTATATAATTACTGATAGTGACACAGATATCCTCGTGTACAATGAATAATAGTCTGAACTACGTTCAGTATTTATGTCGTAACGAGTTGTTCGCACATCATAGTTCGCGCAATGAACAATGCATTCTGCAAATACAAGGCGAAGGCCTATTTTTGTTCTCAATCAACCATAAAACATACGAGACTCTCCATACGACTTTTGACAGTATACAAATTTAGCGCCTTTTTGTCAAGATTATATCTGTTGTAGTCAAAGTGAGGACAATATAGATTGGAACGAATTGTGCATATATATCTCCCATTATCGGTATTTCATGTACAGCGAACAAGGTCTGGAGTTTAGAGTTAGATGCAGTATGCAGATGTTTTAGAACACATAAACAGACGAATTCTGAAATCATTTCAATTGTTGAACCATTATATAATCGGAAAAAGGGCGGGAATGATTCTGGTAATGTACTAGTTACTTTAGTAACGTAAATTGTATCAGCTTTGCTCTCTACTACGTTACTGTCAGCTCCTAATGACAACTATATAGTATGAAAATAAGGCTTTTCCCCTATCTCGGTTCTAAGGCAATTTTGGAATCCTTACCGTCTATTTTTCACCGCGATTCTTCTTTGGTCGCTAAAAGGAACCATTTTTTGCCACATCCGACACAAATTTATAAAAATCCAACTTTATTTTAATGTAGAATTGTGCGATACGGTTTAGATTATTGGCTGAGCGTTAGTTTGAACATGGCGGCCCAATTCTAATGAAAGTTGTTTATGTTTTTGTATCACGTAATTCTACATCAAAATAGTGTTGGATTTTTATAAATTCGTGTTGGATGTGACAAGAAATGATTCCTTTTGGCGACCAAAGAAGAATCACAGTGAAAAATAGACGGTGTAAGGGTTCCAAAATAGTCTTAGAACCGAGATGGGGAAAAGGCTTATTTTCATATTAGTTGTCATTAGGAGCTGATAGTGATAGTAACGTAGTAGAGAGCAGATCCGATACATTTTACGTTACTAAAGTAACTAGTGATGTACATGATTCTCTGACTAGGAATGTTCTCAAAGTCGCTCTGTTTTTAAATGTCAACTGGTTTCCGAAGATGATCATTCTTATTCTACCGTAACAACCTATATGTACTGAATGCTGAGCATCAATTCATCTTCATTAAACAAAATACAAGTGACTAATTTTATATTCCATGTTAATAGTCGTTATAATTAGCAATTACCACAAATTATATTCGTCATTATGCAATACAGGGCAATTACATGATATTTAAATATGCAAATCTATGGTATGTTTTTAACTTACGAAATGTTACTCTTTTAGGTAATGGTTATAATAATAATTAAGTGCCCCCCCCCCTCCAACTCTCAAAATATTGAATAATCAATGGGGAACAAAAGGTGATTAACAAGTTTTAATAGCATATACCTAATTTATCTAAACGCATAAATATGATATATATAATATTATATTCTGCGATGAAGGGTGCTAAATTTAACAATTAGAAAACGCCATGAGTAATTTCACCCATTTTGTTTATAAGCTATTTGTTATGAAATATAATTATAATACATTGCTTAACTTAATCGTCGGTAGATGGAATATAAAACTATGGGAATTAATTCCAAACAAAACTTTATCTAAATATCGCATTATATCAAAGATATGCCCAGTCATAATATTATATAAAGGGAGCCATTGTGACTTGGTAAGTATGGCGTTGGCTCACTAACCAGGAGGTCCCTGATTCGATCCCGGTGTTGACCGAAAAAATTCCTCGGGATTTTCCAGTCTGGCAGGCCCTTATCAGCGGTTCATGCCTGGGTAGGGGGGCTGGCAAGGAAAGTGTCTAGTTGCTCGGATGGTACGAAGGACCGGGGAAATGGAAATAAGAGTAGCGCGTAGAAAAGTCCGCCTCCTATAGCCAGGTCTTTGCAGAAAAGCAAGACGTTATAAAACCCCCATTTAATTTCTGATATATATGTCAGTTAGTTAAAATCCGTAATGGAGCTGGGTATACGTTTTTCTATCGACGAACTTATAATGTAAACTGGAGAGAAGGGAAGGGGACAATATTCGTTACAGATGTTAAATCGTTATAGCATGGCCGTTTATGGTTGACATGACCGAATAATGTGCTCAGCTATTGGTTTATCATTTACTTACATCCCTACAAGTGGTGACACGGTCGATGAAACGCTTTGCTATAAATTTTAAGTTAACTAGAGATATACTATAGTAAAGTTTCATGTATCGTATTAGTTAGTTTTGTAGGGTTCACTATCATCACGTATCATCATATATGCTGACTCGGGATACATCGATACGTTAACAGACCGTTATTTAGACCGGTATTTGGATTCGTTCACTTTATGAAGTTTAACATCTACAGCCAGCAAGCAGATCACTGAAGTATAACCGCTGTAATATTTAACTTGCATGTCAAGCTCTGATTAGACTTCGCAACTTAAACTGGGTCATTCTAGATCAGTGTTTAAACGTAATCGTTTAATTAGCAAATTAATTGGACTTATACAAAAGGTAAGCTTTATTTGAATTTTATCAAACTTTTTACTAAACTCTTTGTATGTGTATAAACTATGAATATGTTTTCGACGATAGGCTTATATCACAGTTATTTTTGCTTTGTTCCGATAATACTAATCATGATCACGAATGTTAATTTCCAGATGCAGTACTCACGCTGTGTGTTTTTTGGCGAATGATTTAATTCATACAATTCTAGTGTGAAAATAGACTAATTTAACGAAAATTCTTTATATTAAAGACTCAATATTTCAGACTATGTGGAAAATATAGACTTACTGTCAAATGAGTTCATGAGTTCATGACGTCCTGATTTTTTTTCTTGGAATGTCAGTCAACTGTTAAGGAATTACTAACCTATCGATCTCAAAATCACATCGTTTTGAATATTTTATCGTATAGGTTACTATTTATAAAAACAGCCTTTATTTTTGTTAAATTTAAATATTTAAAATAACTATTTAATATAGAAGCTGAAGTAAAAAAAAATCAAAATATTAAGTTTTAAAAACATTTCCGCTTGATTAAAAATCATGATGGGATGTAGCAAACTACAAGTTATACATTAGATAATATGTGCTTAAATGAGATAACATATCAAACAAAAGACCATTTTGAACCCAAACCATTTTATATGTTGAAGATAACATTTGCATTTATAGAAATACGTGCACTTTTCAATTGTGTGTTATGTCGGACATGAAATTGTTACAGTGCTGCCGCCATGGTACCACATCACTGTAATGATTACAATGGACACGGATTGTGTTTTTATTTCTATGTTTTAACACATAAACGTACATATAATTTTGAGTCAGTTGTATGGTGTACAAAATAAATTGATGTAATGCCACAGCCTGGTTAAACCCCCGATCAAGTTAATGCTATCAGATTAATGCTTTTATACATCACGTATCGAAATGAAGGCGTGTATTCATTCGTCCGAGGCCAAAAATAAATAGATGACTAAAAATTGTTTAAATATGAATTATAGTTACGTTGTATCTCAGACAAAATGGTAGATTAACCCCAGGACAGAAATTTTATATCTGTGGTATATTTCTTTTTAAAAAAAAATTATCCTCTACACAAGTGTTTATATGACAACAAATTTCATTTTTGCATCGTAAATAATTTGTAACAATGGGCTATGAATTATTACAAGCATATCAAATTTTATTAGATATATGCAAATTTTATATCTCGTAAACACGCCATTGAAAACAAACTAAGTGCAGCAATATAAATTCAACAACAAAACCTATTAAACGTGAATTCCATTTCATATTAAAGTGCAACAAATCAGTTTCACGTACTGTACTGGCGTAATGTTGCATGTATCAAATGTATCAAAGCTGATATTCTGTAAGCATCTATTAATAGATATGCAATGCAAATTATGAAAACTATAAAACACTGACTCCATTTCACATTAAAACGTGATATATTACAATGTTCATATACGATAAAACAGTTTCCATGGCTTGGTTCGCTTTATCGCTTTTGCAGTTTTTAGAATAATCATACATTCTGTAAATACTTTAAATCTACCGGTACGTAATTAAAGATCTGATAAGTACTAAAAACTGGGTACGTGCTTCTAAAGTAACTTACGAATAATGTGGGAGTCAGGTGAGCTGTGTGTTTTTGAATTGTTGTGGACACGTGTTTTCTTTTATCGCCACACTTTCAAACCGAAGCCTCTCTTGAATCAGTTCTTATGGTAATGTAAATAAGATGTGACAGGCCAAGAGAAGATTACATGATATATAGGATCAGTAAAGTGAACCATTCAAATAAAGTATATGATCATAAGATAAACATTCGTTTAAGAGCCATTCTATTGAATTCGTACAGTTCAACAATAATGCAGGGGTACGAAATGAACACTCTAATACTTAAAGCATGATGCCTGGGAAACACTTGGAAATAGGTCACAATATCTGCTCTGTGTAGCCTTGACCGAACAATTTAAGTTTTTCAACAAATATCTCCAATTTCTTGAAACCATAAAAGCAGTAACCAATCGTGTCTGTTGAAAATCGTCAAAGAGAGATTACATATCAACCAATACTGAAGACTTTATTACCACCATGATTTAACATTATTTCTATATTCAGTTTACGTTGACTTCTATTGATTTCACTCTACCATCTTTGGTAATAAAGTAATCATAAGTCTGTTATCTTTTAGTACAATCCGGACAATTCTTCATAAAGGTTTTTTAACACCCACATGACCTTAATTTCAATACTAATAATGAAATACATGCAAACTATTTTGTAACCAATAATATTATAAAGAAGAATTCTTGAAATAAATTATGTATTGGTAACCTTTCCTTTATGTTATACACAATGTTCCCAGAAAAAGATGTAACATGGAAGCTAGCTATTATCATGCTTAAATCCGTGGGTTTACTGTCCCTTTAAAAAGATAATTATCATATAACACCTCACTTGATTAATGAATAATATATCATTACTTGAACATTTAAAAAATAAATGATTTTATTAAACGACCGAACTCTTAATGTCTTCATTACTGGTCATTAAACGTAAGTCTGTAGCTTCCTGTCTGATCTTGTCATAGATGTGGCCGGACTATGAACTACCGTGTTGATAATCAGTAATAGATCTGTAGTGTATATCCTCTACTTATCCTTCACTGATAAAGGTATCGGTCATTGTCAGATTATATAGTACTTTACTTACAGTTTATCTATTGTTATTAATAGTATATTATTGAGAGAGTGAGTTTGGAGAAATTATTACAGATATTATTGTAGACATTATAACGCTGGTTATCGTTACAGCGAGGAACTTGCTTATAATGAATTTAATATCATTTTTCGGAGTAAAGGTTAATGTTCTGACAAAAAGATTACTCCAATTGAATATTTAAGTCGTTACCTGGTCTGTTCATAGCATAATGAGATTTTGCCTTGAGAGTAGACAATGTATTTTTTGCCATGTTTTATCTTTACTCTAGGTTAACTTTCCTTGTTAACCCGTAATTACCATTGATAAGTGCAAAAATGGTTCAACTGATGTCAAATTTAGGAATCACCATGCTGAATAAGACAAATAAATGCCGAGAGAAGAAATAGCATTGGCCAATTTAGCAGTATAGCAATGACAATTCTAATTCATGGGAGCGTATAGACTACATTTGTGATTAAAAGTTTATAGTTCCCAAAGGCCAACTTTCCTGAAATATAGGATTGGAAACTACGGGTTTAGGTAGTTGCGATCGTAAAATCTATTTATAGCGTTACTTTATCTGGAATTGAATACCTTCAGCATCCCAAAAGCAAATATAATATCATTTTCAATTTAATAATAATAAAACAGAAACCCTTCAATTTGTGGACAGAAGAAAACGAAATCTTATAATATTTTAACCAAAGCTGCTGATCGTCAATTGAGCGATTTTGAATCCCTTGTAAACTGCTATATTGTGAGTCTCTAAAGGGATTGTCAGTCCAAATGTGATTCAGTTCCATGCAATATTTACCGCGAGGTTGGACAGGCAACCCTAGTCCTTCTCACGAACAAGCGGGAAATCGAAGTGACACCACTTGACTTAATGACAGATCTTCTGATCTAACGCGCTCGCCACATGTATTAACCATTTGACCACCCAATCCCTTCCAGGTTAATGAAGACGGTTATACGCTATGAGGGATATTTTGCCCGGCTACTTTTCGTCAAATTCCAACTGCCAATGGTTCTTTTACATGCGGGCAATCATGAACACTCGGCCTGTTTCCTTCGTCCCATCCGAACCACTAAACACTGTTCCTAGCCAGGCCATCCGTTCTTGACCACTGCTAAGGGGAAACTACACGGAAAAATCCAGGGAAGCTGTTTGGGCTAGACCGTGATCGAACCCCGAGTCCTCCTATTTAGTGAACTTCGTGACTAAGCCACCTACCAATGTTCAATGAAATCTTTTTATCTGACAATCCATTATTTGATATTTCGGTTTCCTTTTTCTTATATGTTAAATTTAATTAATTTGAGTTTAGCGTGTAAAATTCTCGATCGCTATTGCCGACTTGAAGATATAAATTCCAATGACATTACGACACATAAAGGAAGTTGAGACATCATAAAAGTCATTTTCATTGACAAATAAACACGCCTGTCACCCCATCCATCACTTACACTTTTAGTGTCAAATTTGTCCTAATCTCAAGAAATTTTTCCGTGTGTGAAGCAAATTTGGGGTGTAGTTTCGTTTGAAGTCAGGAATTAGACTATCATTTACGCAAAGTCAATCAAATGGAAACTGGTTTTGGTTTAATGATAAGCGCCCTGAAGGGTCTAACGGTCCTCGTAAAGATTATATGAGTAAAAGAATCTAACTTTACCACATTGCGACCATAATGTTTTCAATTTATCTTGGATTATTACACATCGATGGTTTATAGAATATAGTCATTTAAGTCATGATGTGAAAAATTCAACTCAGATTATAAATATTAGGTAAAAAACATAGCCCCACTTCCTAGTTTGCAAGCTACTCAGATGTTCATGAACAAAACGGTAAGTCCGATAATTTTGCTACAGTTCTCGCCTTATTCCATTGACTTTTGAAAAATATTTTTCTTAACTGGTTAATATCAATTGGCTTTAGTTTTGTCTGAATCGTAATTATATTCCTGATTCCGATCTGTATTTTAGTCTCATTTTCTGCTAAAAAGGTGGGGCTAGGTGACTGAGGGTCTAACGTGCACTTTATATCATAAGGTCTGTCAGTGAGTCAAGTGGCTTAGTTTCGACGCATGTACGTGACAAGGGATAGGGTCGTCTGCCTAACCCCATGGGTTCTCTCCGGGTACTCCGGTTTCCTCCCACTGCTGAAGACTTCATATTATTTGAAACCCGAAATAACCAAAAGTATGTTGAGTGGACGTTAAAGCCCGTGTCCTCTGGTTTCTGTCCAATGATCATGCCCCCTACGACCTCTCTCTCTCTCTCTCTCTCTTC